GGACAATATCTAGTGACGAATTCGGCGTATCGCGTTCGCAGCAAGCATATTGATATATTGCTTCGAAGTGCAGCCTCTTTCAAGTAGACGTACAATAACTTCCACTTCAGAGTGGCAATGCTATCGTTGAGTTCGCTCACTGTGTGCTCAATTTTAGTCAAAAAAATTCTATCCGCACTATCAACCACACCAAGTTCATTCATTATCTGACCCGTTCAAATGCCATGATTGGGAACAAGCTGGGTTTCTATTGTTCTCTAGCGTTCCAGCGCTAGACCCAAAGACGTCGTATGAAATATTCAGGCGCTGGCGAATGACCAGTTTCTGTACGATTCTGAGATTTTTTTTTGACCATGCACACATATCCACTGAAGTATTTTTGATCTTAGCAAGGTTCATCTTCCGGTAGTCGAAAGAGTTCTTACTGCACAGTGTCCAATAAACATCTTAGCTTAGACGAAAATTGTTACAATTCTATGTAAGAAGATGAGTTGAAACAACCTGACCCCTTCTTCTCTATCTGACCAAGTCGAAACAGCTCATAGTGATACTTTCGGCTAGGCAGGAGGGATAAACGAAACGAACGAATCTACTCTTAAGGGATTTTTCTGTATATATACTAGCGTAACAATAGTAGGGAGTGTTAGAGGGGGGGATTTTATGTATGCAGTTCTCTATCGAGATTAGTTTTGGGCTGACTGCAGCATCTTTCAGACTGCAGTGGGCTACCATTAAGGTAACTGTACATATATTGCTCAAATGGCAGCATTTTCAAGGAGGTAAAAATTTATCCGGTATCAGAGTGAAATACTAGCGTTGAGTTCGCTCAAGTTAGTATAGAAATGTCTGTCCTCATCTACTTATCAATATCATCAAGGTTAACATTTGTGAAATTAAAACATTTTTGCATACTTTCGGCGAATCGAGAAAGCCGTGACCGATATTAACTGCCTCAACAAAAACCGCTTTGTCCATTAATGAGGATTATTATGATTGATAGCTCTAAGTATTACAACGGATATTTCAAGCTGTCTCAATTGCCCACTCATTCAGAAAAGCACCACATAATACTTAGAGCTAGCCATATATTGATCAGAAGAGCTCTCGCTCGTCACAGGGTCGACCGTAAGCCTGACATAACCTATATTAAGAAATCATTACAAGCAATTAATATAAAACGAAATTCGTCACTATTTGTGATTTGTGAAAAAAAAACAGTAAGGAAGAACTAAGTTCGGGTGTCACCGAACATTTTTTACTCTCGCATCAAATACCGTATTTGTGGTAAGTTTTATTCCGCTATCATCAATGGTTCCTAATGGATATACGAGTATTATACAGAGAAGGCATCAGATTGAATTTAAAATAGCGTTATATTGGAAGAAGGCGTGATTGTGAACCGATTTCACCCATATTTGGTACATGTCATCAGGGTGTTAAGAAAATWTTATGTACCGAATTTCATTGAAATCGGTCGAGTACTTCCGGAGATATGGTTTTTGGTCCATAAGTGGGCGATGCCACGCCCATTTTCAATTTAAAAAAGCCTAGGTGCAGCTTCTTTCTGCCATTTCTTCCGTAAAATTTAGTATTTCTGACGTTTTTTGTTAGTCGGTTAACGCACTTTTAGTGATTTTCAACATAACCTTTGTATGGGAGGTGGGCGTGGTTATTATCCGATTTCTTCCRTTTTTGAACTGTATATSGAAATGCCTAAAWGAAAYGACTCTRTACAKTTTGRTTRACATAGCTATARTMGTTTKYGAGATATGTACAAAAAAGTTAGTAGGGGCGGGGCCACGCCCACTTTTCCAAAAAAATTACGTCCAAATATGCCACTCGCTAATGCGATCTTTTGTGCCAAATTTCACTTTGATATCTTTATTTATGGCTTAGTTATGACATTTTATATGTTCTCGGTTTCTGCCATTTTGTGGGCGTGACAGTGTGCTGATTTTGCCCATTTTCGAACTTAACCTTCTTATGGAGCCAAGAAATACTTGTACCAAGTTTCATCATGATATCTCAATTTTTACTCACGTTACAGCTTGCACGGACGGACGGACAGACAGACATCCGGATTTCAACTCTACTCGTCACCCTGATCACTTTGCTATATATAACCCTATATCTAACTCTTTTAGTTTTAGGACCTACAAACAACCGTTATGTGAACAAAACTATAATACTCTCTTAGCAACTTTATTTGGAGAGTATAAAAAATGCTCTCATATARATTTGTAGTAATTCAACTAAAATATTTTAATGGTTATAATTATATTATATTAATTCTATTTTAGGTTTTTTCATCACTATGTTTAATGTATTTTTACAAATTCTTGTTTAATTAAAAACTCATTGTGACAGTTCAGTCACCAAAAAAGACCCTCAATAATATTTCTATGCCTTTATAATACACTTCAAATAATAAATAAAAAATATATAAAATCAATAATAAAGTGACCACAATATCATGCTTTCCTTATTCGGAGCAACTGGATTTTTCCTATTGAATTTTTAAAACAAAGCCACCTTCACGAAATTGAGTACCCAAAAATAAACACAGCACAGAGGAGAAATGCACACAACCGGATCTACACATACAAATATGCACGGCTGTGTTGTCAGCTTTTGAAACAGTCATTCATTGTAATCTGCTTAAAAATTCAACTGACAACATCAGTCAGCGCATACTAATAAATCATAAGCGAATTCTTGTTCCTTTTTGGACGCCCACTAAGTTAAACGCTTAAACAAAGACCCAAAATAAAAGCGGAGAAACAACAAACACTTGCAAAAAAGATGAATATATGCAGCTACATAAATCAGTGGGGGGATGTGGATATTTAGCAGCACAATGCGCGTTGCACACACACATAGAAAGTAACGGTAACATATGAATCTACAAAATATTCTGCTCAACTATGTCATGCATATGAACAAACCCCTCTTTCCTCTTTGCAGGAAGAAAAAAGATACAAAAATCAGAGGATGAAAGGCATGATAACCCAGAAAGAAAAAAGTCACCTTTTTCTCTTGTATGGTACTATTGAGCACTCTGCGGATTTGTGGTAGTCAGACCTTTTATAATCAGCAGTGGAGAGCAAAATTAGTGAGAGTGATTCCAAGGTAATACTTTATAAAATACAATGCTATGAGAAGCTAGTCTACACTTTCGGCTGGGTTGCGGCTACGGTTCTGAATATTCGCTACTACAAGGATACCTATCAGTGGCTTGGGATGTGTGTGTGTGTGTGTGTGTGACATGCCTCTTCACCTCGGCCCAGCTCTGCTGCTTTGACTAATTTTTTCACTTGTCGCCGTGTGATAAATTGTATAAACATACATATGCCAAAAACATAGTTTGTGTTGCCAGCGCATGGGGTGTTGTGGGGCATGTGTGGCAGACAGCGTTTGCAACTGAAACGTTTGCCGCTTTGCGCATACAAAAACGGACATTAAAATTTTCTTTGTAACTGGAGAGTTTTTCGGCACTGTCTAGTGCATAGTAAATTTCAGTTGCTTTCAACTTTTGCTCCTCCACTCCACTCCGGCACTTAAGCTTGTGAATATGTCACGCTCACCACTGGTAAAGGGGTGCATTCGCTTAATACCGTTAGAGTGCTTCGTTAGAAGTACAAATGCTGAAATGTTAGTTTGTGAAGAAGGATCTGGCTTCGGATTACAGATCTCAAGTGCATACATAAACACCCAGAGACTTTTGTGTAATGCAGCTGCCGCTGGAACGCTCGAAACTTTGCATGACTGTGTCTCTATTACAAAGCCTCGGATTTTTTGTTTGCTATTATTTTCTTTTAGGCACATAACTGAGGAAAAAGTTGGCGAAACTCACACATATTGTTTTTTTTTTTTTAAACTGACTGCAGCAACTGCGTTCGTTGGAAGCTATCACGCGCAGCTGTTTTGACTCACAAAAAAAAAAAAAAATAAATAAAAAAAAAAAATCCATTATTAATGTTCCTCAGTTTTAAGGCAGCAATTTATCAAAGTTTTTAGCGTACCTAAGAATTATGCAATGGGTCCAATAAATGCATAGGCCTATATGATAGGCTGTTGCAATTTGCATACGGGGGCACTTTTTATTTAGAAAAATTAAGTACCACTTTTTTGTAGACCATTATTATTTTATATCTGCTTTGGGTTTTCTATCGGAGTATGGCAAATAAGATTACAAAGATGATGACAAAAACTCTTATACTACTGCAAAGTGTAGCTCTTATTATTTCTTATACAGTAACATTTAAAACTAATAAACTTTAATCTAGTGCTTAATTTTGGCTGTTGAAATTTTTGTTTCTGTAAGAGGTGTCAGTCTGACTGTTCGCTTGGCTGTTCGGAAATTACGCTTTGATGGAGTTACTTTTTGGACAGAAAGAGATCTACATATAACACAGTACAACAGCTATTCTAAAACCCTCAAAGGGTTTTACTATACTGACCTAGTACCATCACCCTGACTTGGAATTTCTCACCCCCGAGACAATAATCCCAAAAATGTTCCACAGTGTAATCGGAATAAATGGGAGTTTGGAAATTGGAGTAGTTTATGGCTGCCCGCATGGTTCTATCTATGATCTTGTCTGTAGTTGTACGTATACAGACGACCTTCTTCTCTTTGAATACAACTCTTTGGTTCGATTTTTTAGTTATGTCATTAACAGTAGCGAATCTAACCCGTGTTAATTATACATTTATAAGTTGTTTAATGAAATATTGAATTGACCTAATTAAATCTAGCAAGAACTTCCTTCATAGCGCACTCATTGTTAGAGCGCATTGAGAAATACTTTCACTCTCTCGCATTCTCACACTCCGTCAGCGATTAAATACTTCAAATACTTCAGAAAATTAATATACTCACTGCCTCCAATTACTCTGCACCGACACGTTGACAATTTCGTTCTTGAATCCAGAATTTTTCGTGTCATTTAATAAAGTATTTGCATTTTTACTCACGATTTTCTTCTCTCTACTTGCAGGTGGCAAAAGGCGGGTGTTCAAAATAAATACCAGCAGTACAATTCCAAATAATTGCCACTCAAGAACACCTATCAACAAGCACAATAACAACAACATGAACAACTACAAATATTACTAAAGCAATAACGATGCTGACTTAATGAAAAGGAAGTGAAAGGGACGAGTTTAAGACATCGAAAATGAGTGTATATGTATGGGTAAGTGTGAGCATTGAATGAAAATACGATGAACAGTATACAACAAGCTCAAGTTGTAGGTGACGCTGACGGGCTGAGCGCCGTTGACATGTGAGCCGTCGCGCGCAGTTATACAACGCAAATCGACGGCAACAAAAGGATAACCGTTAAGAGATAAGAGAAGCGACGTCACGTGCCATAATAATACTGTAAAGTGAAACCAATTAAAAAGGCGCGTGATTTCAGCTGAGCGACAAGCTGGAGGCGTAAAACAGGCAACAGCCGACGTGTAATTTTACAATACAACAAAAATAAAAGGTAAGCCTAAAGGTAGAACCGAAATAAAAACAAAACAGAATACAACGGAAGTAAATTTACAGGAGCAACAACGGCGCTGGCATCCATGGAGCAGCCACGTTCGCGTTTTTGTGCTGAAAGATTGATAAATAATGCAAGCATGTTTTTTCCGCAAAATAACGGTGTTCTGTAAGAAAAAGTGAACAAAAATAAGCAACGCAAGCCAATAGCAGACACGTGGCAACGTTTTTTGAGTGAAAAACGTCGGAAGCGTAAGTGAAAGGAGGAAACGGAAGCGACAGTGAATTTGTTGTGATTTCATTTATATGCTTTTGCTTTCTTTTTGTTGCTTTAACAAGCGGTGAAAGGATGATATAGATTTAAAACAAAAAAAAAATTTCGCCGTAGTGCCGGCCAACAGTTTTATTCACGCGTTAAAAATTACAAATGCAGCAACAAAAGTAAACTTGTTTTTACATAAGCCACCAATATTTCCAGTCATAATAATAACAATAGCAATAACAATAATCGCAATTATAATCAGCACGTAGCAAATAAGAACACCGCGTGACGCCAACTGCTGCCACGTCTTGCTGCTTCACGGCACTGCAAACGCTTAAAGTGATTACTAGCGGTATTTATTAATGCTCACATGCGTTTGTGTGTGTAGGAGAGTACGCCGCAATTTTATGGCGTTTTTAATGAGTATTTTTTCGCACTTAACTTTACTTTACGGGTTTCATATGCCATTTCATAGTACGAACGCGAACAGTGCATTTCTGAATTTCGAGCGAATTTAAATTCCTGCTTTTGCAACGTTTTTACACAACTCCATATGATACATGTGAGCGTTATCGATAAATTTGCGCAAAATTTAAGTACAGCACTTAATTGAATTTGCACTCACTTTGCGTATTTAACTCGCTGCATTAATTAGGTTTTTATACACGCAATTAATCGATGCAAAGAACAATACTGACAACAACAAAGCGTGCTGTAGTCCGTTAGCAACTTTTTACTTTCGTAACAAACACAACATATCGATAAAACGTACAATAATTCATAGTAATAACACAGGACATAATTAAATATAAACAAACGGCCGAGTGAATTGTCAGCCATTTAACAATTTGTTATTACAACATCGACGACAAAATCATCGCTTGAACGCAAATTCATCAAGAAACAATAACAAAATGGCACATTGGGTGCAGATACTGTTGGCGTTGCTGATGTATGCAGGTGAGTTGAATGCGCTTTTTTCAAACAAAAATTAATATTTTGTATCTTTTATATGTTGTTGGTATTAAGTGTGGATACAGTTGATAATGCAGCAACAATTTACTAACAATATATTTTTTAATCGTAAATATTTTAAAAGGTTGCATATTGAACTTTAGTAAAGGGTTTCATGCAATTAAGTATTTACACTAGGATTTTTTGAATGACTAATCCGACAAAAGAAGTTCTTAAACACTTTTTAAAAAGTCTCCCCAAATATGAGCTCTTATTTGTAACAGCAGAGTCCACCACATTACAGCTTTCTATTTTTTTCTGACCATAAGAAAGAAAATTCAAATCGCGCTTCCAACTTTTTAGCAAATACTTCGTTTTGTAGATTTTGTAGAGGATTCAATACTCTACAAAATGTTGTCTAACTATTTTATCGTACAATTAATCGTTTAAATGATATTAAGATTAAAATTTGATTACTCCAAGGCATTTGTTTGTTTTGTTTTTTATCAATTTTATAACTACATGGAAAATTAATCATTAAAAATCTGAAATATATTAATTTTGCAAAAATTCACTGCTCCACAAAATGCTCTCTAATTTATTGCGTATATGTCAGTCAATACGTAAGATGCCTTAACAATAAGTGACCGTGAATTGCTCAAAAATTTTAAAAATTTAATAAATTTTTTAATTTCTCAAAAATAATTATCCAATTCCTAAAGTTAATGCATTGTAGATCTTCTTCTCGATATACGCGTTAGTGATATCCATCCATTTTGACTTTCTAGCTCACATTAAACTGTGGTCAAAATATGTGATGGAATTAAGTGAATTAATATATTATATACTTATGAGTATATGACATGTAGCGTGGACCTAAATACAGTGAAGTTAAGTTTTCAATAGTGATGTCTGATCCAGTCATTTTGCTTATGGCTTTGTTATAGAGAGTAAACATAAAAAATTAAATTCATGACAGCGAAACTAGCGAAAATACTGCAAGACTTTTTTGACAGCCATATTTCAGATAACCAAAATGCATTAACTATTCTAAAAGAGTCTACGGCCTATACAGGATTATCCGTTTCGATATTTTTAAAGACAAAATACAGAAACTTGAAATTTAATCGGGAATGTTTATTAACATTCCATAGAACATTCTTTGATATTTATGATCTACACCGAAAAAAGTTTAAAGGAGTGATATCACACGATCGTGTTGGCCAATCGAGCGGAATAAAACGTGAAATTATCTGCTAGCCGAAGTGTTATCTCAGTAAACCCGTTGAGTGGTGCGATGTACGAGAAGTTGTGCCGACTTGTCGCTGAGGTCACGAGCTTCACTTTCAGGCGCCAAGTAGTGGCTTACTATGGAGCGATAACGTTTAATATGGATCGATGATTCCACTGGCCAAAACGTTCTTTCTGAATGAAATGACACTTTTTAATCTGTTCCTATTATTGCTTGTTTATAAACCCAGTGACCCAAAGCCCTGACCAAAATTTGGCTCGAAAATGTCGGATCTTCTTGGAGCTTTTCAAGAGTGTATAGAGCGAAGTGGTGCGGGAAGGTCGAATGGTTTCAGTTCTTATCTATTTTTTACGCTTTAATTTATAAGCTGGGGGACTAGTTCGCGTATATATACAGACAGACAGACACACAGTACGCGAAGCACATTCATTACATTACGTGAATTTGCGTAAAAAAGGTGAACGACTTGTAAACGTTGTCTTTCCATGATAAAAAGTACTGAATATACTTTCCAAATAATACTGAGCAAAAATAGCATAACATAAAGAAATAACGAAGGGTCAACCAATATACCAATAACAACGCATATTTTTGAATGAAGAGGTTCTACTTTCAAGACCTCCAGGAAAGGTATTTTTTAGACATCTAAATTTGGAGAATCGCTTCACCTTTTATTTTTTTAACACAGAATTTTTCGCTCAACCGTTAAAGAATAATAGAGTCTACTTTTATTTAAGTTGTGGCCATCTACATCTTATTATAACAAACATGTGTTAATGTCTGTTTCTTAGGCTTTGTAAAGCGGGATTGCTGAGACTATCCCACCTTGCTAATAATCTGAGCTATCTTCAGAAAACGTAATAAATGAGTGCCTTTCCCGGACTATAAAATATTTCACACTGTAAGGAAGGATTACAAGTAGCGATAAGAAATTGACTTTGTGAACTAGTTTTTTTAGAATGGAATTTTATTAAACGTACGACTACTTTGACCAGCTTTAAGAATATCTGATGAATATAATGGAGTTTCCAGTAAGAGTGATATAATATTTTTTCAAAAATCGATACAATTAAGTTTTGAAACTAGCATCATAAGAATGCACTCCACGACTTCTTTTGCAGAAACGAATTCAATGAACTCAATTTTCGAGTACTTCTTTCACTAAATAAATTCATTGAAGTCATAAAAAGCATAGTAAATAATGATTGTAAAGTTTGAAGGGAGTCTGGTTTATTGCTAATGACCAATTACTTCAAATAATCCCACAAGAATCACTCTAATGGTGTTAAATCACAACTCCTTGGAGACCTTTCAATGTCACAATTTCTTGAAATAATCGAATCTCCAAACTTTTCTCGCAATAATTCATTTGTTGCACCTGCTGTGTGGCAAGTAGTACCATCTTATTGGAACCAGATGTTGTCAAGATCAACATCTTTCAACTGACGCCATAAAAAGGTTGTTATCATCTCTCTATATCGCCCTCCAGTGATGCAGAAGTATGCAACGATAATTCCACCACACCTAAAAACACACCAAACATTTAATTTAAGTGAATATAATGGTTGTAATTTGTAGATTCCCTTTCCACCAGGATCAACAGTCACATCATCACAACATCACTTTTATTTAATACAATTGAGTTTAAGAGCTACACTCAAAATATTTAAGTAAGAGTGGTGACTTTTTAAATTTCTTTTTGATAATTTATATTTGATTCACAAGAAAACAATTTCTATATTTTAACTGAAAAATACATACATATGTAGTACCAATAAAAATTTATTTATTGAATTTGAAAGAGAAACATTTTACTTCGAAAACAGTAAAATAACAATAAATAAACTGCTTGCGAAGTAGGACAAACTTTTCCTCTTCAAAATCAATTATTCTGCCACAAAGCATTGCGCCAAAAATGTGTAAGAAAGTTACAGAATCAAGCGAAGTCTGCCAGCAAACAAAGCTGCACTCAATCTTTTTGGGTATTAGACAGAGGAAATGCCAGTAAACTACTACAAATGCAGCAGCCTTACTAATACTTATATTACAAACATACATATAGTACAAGTACGCCACTTTGGTTTAGACCAAAAAGGAGAAGAAACCGCTCGAAATTACGGCAAATTAATACAGTTCTTTGCCGCGTTGACGTTTACTTGCAGAGAATAAAAGTTTTCTAAATTCCGCGGTTTTTTTTGGCGTTTTTTGGCGTTTTTTGCTTAACTTATTTGGAGGGCATGTGCTTACAAGTACTTAAGTAAGTTTGTGTGTACCCTGTAGGGAATATCTGCGATAAAATACTATATACATAGTTATCGTATTTCCAAAAGTGAGAAATTCAATTTGGAATTATCAAGTTTCGATCTGATTATACTATCAGTGCTTTCATAGTTTATAGTTGATCTAAAACAATGGTTGGATAAGTTTTACGAAAAGTCTGTCCGCGACTTGCTGAATCGTCATTATAATAATTGCACAATAACCTCAAAACAAATCATGAAAATTGTTGTAATTATGTGATAAAAATGTAAAATAAGTTAGTCAGCATCATTGGCAGCTCAAAGCACCACTGTAGGCAGGAAAGGATTACCTCTGAATTTCAAATAAAAAATTTCACTTAGTGCCAGATATTTTCGGTAAAAGATCAACTATTGGGTTCAGATATTCGATAGTTTTTCTTGGATTTGGGCAATTTTTACTTTTATGGTGGCACACTCTACAGGTATTATTCGTACCAAATTTTTTCTCGTCGAATTAATTGTTTATTAAATTATACACTATAAAGAAAAGAAAAACAAATCGAATATAAAATTTTGTTAAATGAGAAGTAGGAGTGGCTGTAGTCCGAATTCGGTGATTTTCACGCTGTAATAGAAATATAGTATGTCAGAGTAATGCCGCATAGCAAATTTAAATGAAATCTTAATTTAGTGCTCAGTTATGGAACTTTAGTGGTTTGCGGTTAATGGAATGTTTTGAGCGTGGCAGCGTTCCCTTTCATCAAGAAATCTCAATTTTTATTCAAGTTACGAACGAACGGACGGACATTCACCCAAATTTCAACTCTTCTCCTCATCCTGGATATTTATATATATATATAACTCTATATATATCCCGATTAGTTTTAGCTGATACACACAACCGTTGGGTTAACAAAACTATTATAATCTTAGAAACATGTTTCAAGAGTATACAAACTAACAAATCAGCCGGAAATAGCGGCTATTCAAAGGGTTCAAAAATAATTTCAATCTCAATCTGGATTTTAATCTACAAAAATAGAAAATGCATTCTTCTTCAAAGACTCACACAAACTGTGCAAAATATACTTTGCTTTTTTTTACAAGTTTTCACAAAGTAGGGAGTGCATAGATGCCACTGTAGCAAAAACCGACAAATAAACTTTGCAAATTCGTTTAAGCCCGAGCTATGCCACCCCGCCAGACGCACAGAAACGCGAGCAAGCCGAGAAAAACACACACATATGTACTTGGATGCCCGCGCATAGAATATTTGCAAGACTTGCAAGTCACAAAATTTATTCACTGCAAGAACCACAAGCGCAGCAAATGCATCCAGCTGAGGCGGCAAAATGCCACATAGCTATGGGTGCGGCAAGTGGCGGTTCCTGGAGCTGGTAGCGAGTGTTGGTGCAACGCTTTTGCGATTGCCACAGAGCAACTTGAGGAACCTACTGCTACAGCAGCTGAACTACAATAGCACACATACACACAAGGAAGCTTTGCATTTGCCG